AGAGAAATTTGTTCCGAGGAGAGACTCATACCCATGTACCCACAATTTGAATGTGAAGCTCGTCCCCACTCGGTTAACCAGGTTCGCTAGCAGTGGTTAGCGTGGCCTAGTATAATAAATTATATACAGCAAGATGCAAGATGGCGCAGAGAGGGATGTTAAGGTGAGGAGGAGAGAATGAAGGAGGGCTGACTTAGTAGAGAGAAAGAAAAGAAATCAATAGATATGAATGAAGACAAGGAATGAATTTAATAGAGAGAAAGGAAAGAGAGAGAAAAGGGCAGAAGGTGAAAGAGCGACTACTCCGAGGGAAAGAAAGAAAGCGCCAGAGTAAAATTGATAAAAAGAAAGGAAGAAAAGATAGAGAAGACAGAAAGACTAAGAAATAGGTTCAGAAAGATGCATTAAAAGAAGTATTCACAATTAGGACAAGATGAAGACAAAATGTCTAGCTTCCTCCCTAATAGTATAATATACCAGGGGGTAGAAATAGTGAGTGAGATAGTAAAAGCCTAGCCTAACCTGAACCTGCGGTAGCTTCCCACCAAGTTTGCAGCGAACCAGCCTTGTGCACAGATTTCATTTTTTTTTTGTTCGCGAACGCCTCATTGAAGAAATTAGTTTGTTTCACTGAAAAATAGTTTGACCGAACAAGCTATTCCAACAGTATGGAACGTTAGGTAAGTCTACCAACAATTACAATAGCCTGTTTCCATTTTAAATAGCCTGTTTTGAAGTCGACATCAGTTTGTTTTATTTTTAACGCACGCCTGTACAATGAATGAGGTTAAGTCACATACACTCATTGTGAGCCCTAACGTAAACGTCAGACAAAAAAGAATGAGTACGAAGTGACGGAACTATTTCTGCTGCTTAGTAGAAGTGCACTTTCATGCTATTGATCTACGCTGGTTATTCAGAACGCAAACACACAAAAAACACTGCAGATGCAAAAAAAAATCTGACGTCCATGACATCAGCAGCAGCATTGTATACATAGGTTGAAGCAGCAAAATACCGCAGGAAATGCTGTTAACAAATTGTTTGATTGCCCTTGAAAGAAGTTGTTGTGGATGGTGTTTTGTCACGGACATTCTTAAAAAGAGTGATGCTCATTTCCTTTACTTTGAGAGCATTGTTGACTCCTTGAACAAAGGAGGTCACTGAAGTCAAGGTTTCAAGCGGTCTTGTTCACTTCAAGGTAAAGCTTTGAACAAGGCAAAAGTACTTGCCGAAGGGCTGTCTCCGCAAGTTTAGTGTTGTTAGTTTCCCGAACATCCTAGGTAATCACGAGCGAGAGAGCACATGCATTCACGTTGCCGGGGTGAGAGAGCAGGATAAGCAGAATTTTTAATATGTCTACCGGTGTAGGACAAATTGCACTTATGAACCGCTTATCGCGAAAATTCGGCCTCTGTTCAGTGAATGATTCCAATGCACAAGCTCTTGTCGCAGAGTGCCTCGCCGAAGATGCCACTGTGCCGTTCTTTCAGAAACCACGTGATTACAGAAACTCATATTGCCTAACTCGCGAACAATATTTGCCAGATAAGCATTCATAAATTTTATTGTCTTTTTCACGTGAGGTGCACATCAAAAAGCGATGGCGCAGTGGGATGGAAAGTCTGTTGAATATGAGAAAAATTTGGGACATTGGCTTTCTTCCGTGAGCACAGCTAAAATACTACTGCTGCTCATCGTAAAATTTATCAGTCTATGTGAACGCTCGTGAACAACTCCGCGATAAATCTTTGTCCTCTTGATTGTGCACGCTAGTGCGCATGGGAGGTGCTAACTTTCCTCATATTGTTCATTTTTTCATATCTCTTTTTATTCATCACAAACTTCAAGTTAACGAGGAGGCTAAGCCTGGTATAATGGTTTCAAATACTAGCGTGATACGTGGACAGGGAGAGCTAAGGCATGGACAACAGTTTAGCTGTCCCTGTCTTATACTGCGCTCGTATTTCAAACCACCTGAATCACCAACTCGTCAAATCGATACTTTGGACCTGGTATAAGCTTCGTGCTTTTCTTTATGACACTTTCTTTCCGTCCACCATACCCATGAGGTATATTTCAGAGCACTTATACAGCTTGGTGTTTCGTACGCAGCCACAGTGACAAATGCACGAAATGACCGCCGTCTCAGAAGCCATTTGGGAGCCTTGGGTGAAATCAATAGTGATATTTGGGCGGGCTTTGATCGAGCTGGTCCTTGTGGAGGCCCGGGTTACACTGCCAGCATTGGATCAGGTGTTGGTGCTAGGCTAGGTGGTCGGGGCAGTTTAGGCCTAGGCGGCCAAGGTAAGAATTCTAACTCACGTCATGTCACAATGAAAATCATTATGCCTCACGAAACCTGTGTGATGTTTGTGCAGTACGCGTGCATTCTGTCGCACTCCCCAATGAAGGAATTTCGCATAATGACGTGTGCTGCCATTCGTGAAATATTTTGGTAGAGAACAAATGTCTGTATATTACAGCATGGTGTTGACGGAACATATGAGTGAAGTCGCTGTAGACAGCAATATGCATAGTATTTATCAGAAAAAAAAACTATATAGGGCCTATTTGCAGCCTATGAAAACGTAGCTAACTTTTATTCCAGTAATATGTTTCGTAGAGTTTTCTAATTATTTCAATGCTTCAAACATATGAAAATATATGTGACTAATATTTGACATATATTCGGGACATAAACGCATACCACTAGAAGTTTAATTGAAGTGGTTTACGGAACGTTTCAGGCTGAAGTAGTTAGAGAAATATCAATAATAAATCATCAAGATAGTGTTCTGCCTGTCAGGTACGTTAACCGGGGCTAAATTTCTCCTGTAACAAAAAAAAATTGTAGGGTTGTTATGTCAAGGCCGCGATGTGATGTCGCATGCGGTAGTAGGGAGCCCCAGATAAACTTTGAAAACATACTCTTAATTATTAGTCACTTCAATCTAAGAAGACAGTCATTTTTGCATTTCGCCTCACCTTTGCCGCATGGTGGGTGACGTGATCAGTAATTGAACTTGCGCCCCAGGTTTAGCCCTCACACAACTTACTTCTGAAGTTATCACAGGGGCTGGGATAAGCTGTGTCACATATATTCGTAATTTTCCAACCGCAAGGTGTAGAGCTGAAATGGTGAGCAAGGGTCCTTCGATGAAGGAATGCGCCAAGATTATTTTTCATACTATTTATAGTGATCACAACAGCTAAAAATTTGTTCTTATTTCGAAAAAAAACAGGGTGCAAAAAAGGAAAAACAGTAAACACTCTAGGTCCTAGCTTTCTTGCACTCAGATTTTGACCATAAATCGAATTGCTCATGACAGGAGTGCCTTTGTTTGCTTCTGAATATCTGCGATGTAGTTATTCTATTGGTACTGTATTGTTTGGGTATTCACACCTCATCTCAGGCTTACTAAAACAAAAAAAGGTTATATTGAGCTGTCCTACAAAGCAAAGACCTCGTCGACAAACTTATTATTGTTTTATTTTTCTTTTCAAGTAATAGATTTCAGTAATTCGTTCTCCAAGACGAAGTGAAAATTTTTTTCTTACACTTGACAGCTATTTAGCTGGTATTACCAAAGTGTGCGCTTGTAATATTTTACAAGTTTTTTGTGTTTCAGAACGCGTTCTTATAGTGCCTGGAAGTATGTCAATTTCAAAGGTTGTCTCAAACTCATGTGGAAAAAGCTTATGAATAAAAACCACGCATTAATATTTTACTCCCTGCCTGCGCACCTTATGCCTTGATTGTTAGAAACATGCTGCAATACAGATGAGAAAATCTAGAAACAATTGACGCTAATTGCCCCACACCTAATGCGTTGCAACTCATGGAAATCTTATGTTTTCATTGTAACCTCGTCAACGGCCCTGCACATGCTGGAGGGCCAGCGATGAGATTACAACCAGGCATAAGATGTGCACGATATATAACCAATTTTGTGTAAGACAATTAGTGTTTCTTTCTAGATTTGCACATTTACGTAAACACTGCCGCTCTTTTGTGATAAGTTAGGAAGAAGCGCAATGGTGGAATAAAGAAAAGAACGCTGAAAACTGAAAAAACAACATTATCTTCACTTCAGCATAACAATGGGAACATATTGCGCTGATGTCACACGTGCACTGAATTAACTAATTTAAAAACGTCACTAAGAAATAAAAATAAAGGTAACAATTGGAATACTTCTTTTAAAAATACTCGTAGAGCTGGTATGTAGTTTCAATTTAAAATATGGCGTGTTTCATAGGTCTTATACAATAGGGTAACCTGTAATGTATATACGTGATCCCATTTAGGTGCACTGATCCTGAATTTAGGTGCACAACCTCAATAAAGGGTTTAGAAGGGTGACGATAGTTCGTTTTTAGAGATAACTAACGCTTTGAACGGAACTTCTTCGTTTCTTTTCAATAGTTATAGCCCCTATACCAGCGTTTCACAAATGAAGGCCACTTTGGGTTGGGATCTGCTACGCGTACGTAGACAGAAACTACCGCTTAAACTGTTGCACCAGATATATTGCTTTAACACAGCAATCAATCCCCATAGCTTCCTTGTTCAACCCCTCTACACATCCACTCACTGTGACAATAGCAAAAAGATATCTACCTTCAAATGCAGATCCGATACTTTTTTTTCTACGCATTCTTTCGAAAATAATAAGAGAGTGGAACAGCTTACGTGACGAGTTGGTTAGTATAAAAAATAATGATTTATTTTTTCTATTCTGTAATATTCTTCTCGGAATGAGAATGTTCTCTGTGTATGAAAATGTATCTGTGATCGATTATTATGTTTTGATAAATTTGACAGTGTTTTTATGTGCATTTATATATCTCGCTACAAATTCATTTGTATGAATTGTTTTTTGTCCCCCCCTCTCTAGATAATGCCTATATGGCGATGTAGGTACTCTGTAAATAAATTTCTAGGTGTCGTATAAATGCAGCTGCCTAGCACTTACTTTAATGTTTCTTATTGAAAGAGACCAATCAGATGTAATCTACGCCGGGGTTGGCTTCTGCATTTATAAAACAGCTTATCCTGAATTGTACGGATCGTACTTGGCTGGCGCTTACGGAGCTGCCTCGTATGGTAGTTATGCTCGTTACGGAGCGCCATATGGTGGTGGATACTACGCCTCACACCTGTATGGTCTTTACGGTCCATACGGGGCGTACAATACACACGGTGGACACGGTGGATACGGTAGATATGGTGGATACAGGGCATACAACCCGTATGGAGGAAGTGGCATCTATGGCTATCACGAAGAAAATGGCGCCTCTGACGAATGGGGGGCCCTTTCGCATGTGTCAAGTTCAGAAGTAGTTGTACCGAGGGCCCTCAGTGGCTCGGCTGCCGAAGCATCTGGAGCACCTGGCAGCACACCCAGGTGAGAAGTCGTCCAATTATTTAAGTTCTGCAGGATAGATTTTTCTCCCCAGTTTCGTTGTAGCCTTTTGGTAAATAATGGTTAAAGAACGCAGCAAGTCGAAAGCGAATCCTTCATGTTTTCTTTCACGGACTCAGAGGAGCGTAATGAGTAAGGAATGTTCAGTAATGACCATGACGCGTAAAAACCCGAATGGCAAGATAACCATGAATAGCGCACATGTGTATTCCTAATTATTTAGTTTGCATTAAGAAGACCTACAGCATATATGAAATGTACACCGAAGCACAACAGGCAAAGGGTTAGGCTAATGGCATCAGACAACACAGCACTTTCCGACGAAGGATTCGAGTAGCACTCTGAGGCACAAGTGGAAAAAAGTTTCACTGATATTAAGCCCGCCTGTACGCTTGCCAGTGAAGAATAGTTAGCCGAGATATTTCAGAATAGTACTTATATAAATTAGTTTTATGAGCTTTTCTAATTGAAGAAGTATAATATCGGGAGATAAGTGATCTGTTATTTTGTTTTTCTATCCTTTTTGAACACTTCGGATGGTAAAACTGAATAGTTGGAGTGACTGAACTTACGTGTAATTGCGAGGTTGCCGTTATGCTTATCATTTTTCGTTACTAATTTCCAGCGCTTTACCTGCTGCCTCAACGTAAAGCCTGACCAGCAAGATGACGGAAAAGCGTCCGACTACATGTCGTCAACGGTACCTTGGTTCACCGGTTTTAACGGAAATTAGTAGTTTACGGACATGACAATAAATTCCTGTATAATTGAAGTTGCATTTATTAAAGTGTTTGGAGTTTATTCAAGGTTGAAAGAATTCAACAAAATCGTACACATGCAGAGTGGGAAATTATTTCCTGCGAAGGAGTGAGCGAGAAGTTGCCTATATGGCAATTCTTGATATTCAGCAATCTTGCGAGAAGATTGACGCGTATAGGAAATACTGTCACAGAGTGCTTATCTTGTTCTTAACAGGTGACTCGTGTAGACTGCTGTGTAACTGGCACCTTATAATTCACCGTGAGCTCCGCACTGCAAGGTCGCTTCTTACTTTTATCAAATGCTAATGTTAGTTAGATAACGTTAGTTTCTTTTTTTAGATATGTGGAGGAAGAAACGCTGGAATAAATATTCCCGAGTCATAATGTACATATGTAATACTTATTGTATTGTTATCAAGAAAATGTGCAACACTGCAATCTGAACGGACGTTCAACAAGCGCCACAACCAAATTAATGTATGTAACTGTTGATGTACTTAGGTAGTTTACAACCAGTACCATGTGCTCTCAGTTTAAAGGTCATTGGAATGTATTTTACAGCTTTCTTTCGGCTGCTTTACGTAATAATCGCACGCTGAAAGAACGTTCATATCTACAAAGTTCTCAATGTCTAGTTTTGTTATTCCTGAGCTTCAGAAGACTGAAATATTAGTATGCTTCACATATGATATGCAAAGAGCATGAATTGGGTGTTTGTTCTCCACGAAACTGGGACAAATGTATTCACGACATACGAGGTAGGCGAGTCATGTTACTTACGTCACGACTTGTCAGGCCTTGTTCGTTATACACTCATGTTCTTTTATGCCCGTTGGTGTTTCAACTGTCAAGGAGATAGCTATGAGTTCACCAAAACGCTGGAATCTAGCAAGTTATCTAGCTGGCTACATAATACGTGAATACGCTAGCCTTTCGTCCATAATGAAAGCAATCAAATATCAATTACGCTCTCCAGAACTGACGCTGCACGGAAACTCCGCATGCTTGCTCGCAAGCACACCACGTCGCAATGGAACGAGTTACGTTTCACCCACGCATGATTATGTACCTTAGAGTCAACCCTCAGTCTTCGACTTTCTCCAGAACTTCGCTGACGAGACGCTTTAGTGCTGTGCAGGTTATGATTGGGTGTCGAATTCACCAATGCGCACCCGTTCTGCATAGGAATGGCCGACGCAGCTGCATGTGACCATTGCGTCAGTGACAAAACAACTTGGCATATTCTGTGCGAATGTCCACAAATTGCTCGCAGAGGCAGTCACTATGCAATGCAGCAGAAAACTGCACAACGAGGCTCTTTTGAAAGGAAGAATCCTGCGCTACCGACAGGACTTGCGTCGCAGAAAAGGGCTGTGAAGGCACTCCTGCACTTCTTGCGTTCAACCGGTCTCTCCAAACGACGGTGATCAAAATGGTTTTATTTTTTCATCATATCGAATACAAAATTATATGTATACAGAAGGAGGTCCCATAGTCAGAGACTGAATCGGGACCTCCTACAGTAGTGAATGTAGAAAAAACTAATTGATGCAGCAAACAGTGGTACAGAAAACAGGTAATGAAATACATCGCAGGTGAAAACGAAAAAGGAGTTCTGCTTAAGAAAAAAATTAGCAGAAAACCGCAACAAAACTGAAATGAGACAACATAAAAAATAGAAGTAATTCAACTCTTCTAAGTAGTTTTCAGATAATTACCATGGTGAAAGATGAAAAAAAAACAACTACAAGAAAAGAAACCCTACTGAAACGTTCCGCATATACGGATCCGTACATACGCAATTATTGTACTACGGAAAGCCGCATCATGCGGAAAGATGCGAACATCCGCTGCTTACGGAAAGCGCCATATCATGCGAAAAGATGCGGACATCCGCAGCTTACGGAACGCGCCATATCGTGCAGAAAGTTGCGGACATCCGCAGCTTACGGAAAGTGCCATATCATGCTAAATTACCCGATAAGCAGCTTACGGAAATTAGCATAATGCAGAAACTATGCAGCTATCTGCTGCATCTTGCAAAGATCAAATGGACATCCTAGATCTCGAGTAAAAGCAATTGGCCATTCACGTTGTTTGCAAAAGCAAGTACTGTGTAGAAATATATATGAATATTTCATTCTTAATATGTTGCATGAAGGTGAAATATGTTTGCTATCTGAAACAGCCTTGATGAGTAAACAAAGGCTTGAAAGAAACAAATGTGTTAAGAAGCTACTTAATGAGGGATTGAATCATCGGCATCTTTCTAATTGTCGTGATGCGGAAGCAAAATTACCTTTCAAATAAAATACATTACATAACTACTAAATTAACATGCTAGCGATCATAAATGGTGGTTACATTGCAACACATTAATGCAGTGTTCTATGCAAGACCTAAAAAACTTATAAAGTTATTATTATCAATAGAGAAGCATTATTATACACACCAGCCCTGCTACAATCAATATATTTTTTTATTTGTCTGTATGCTCCAGCTGAGAATGGTGACATTGCAGTGTTGATGGTACACAAATGAGGTGACTACACCGTAATTTCACGAGCTCCACCTAAGCCACAGGATGGTGGCACAAAACACAATGTAACAGCAATTTTAGAACGAAATGTTTAAACATAAATAATAATCATAGCATAGCACTGTGAAAGTGTGGCACTGTGTTTGTATCATGAACGCCTTGTGGAGATCGGCGAAATGCTGCTTGAGGCTCCGGCACCACTGTAAATTTGGAAGGTCACTGCCATAGAACTTGTGTCCTTCATAGGCACCTGGAAATGAAAATAATTGGCACAAATAATGTCAGAGACACATGTTAGCACATTAGTTCACATGCACAAGAAATATAACACACACAATAAAACTGAAAATGTAAGGCACACAATCCTTCATGTTATGCATATGTGAATAACAGAAGGAATGAGTGTATAAATTAGTTCTGCCACATCAAAGAAAACGGCATGCTTATCACAGTTAAAATAACTAGGTTGTCACGCTTTTCAATGGTAGAGATAATCGATTAATATGTCCTTATGAAATTATGATTTAAATGCTTCCTGCACAGTAAAACTTTAGAAACTGCAAGTGAAAGCTCTCAATGTACATTTAATAGTGTGTGCATGTATATCTGCTGCCTTTATACTATACAGTTTGTGCACAAAATTGGCATCTTGAACAATTTTGAGAGTAAACCTATGTAACTTATGAAGGTTAAAATCACCATGAAAGCAAGCAGGACAAGGCAGGTGCCATTAAATATCTGTGCAAGCCAGATAACTATAACCGAACTGCACACATATAGGGGAGCAAGAGTACCAGAAATTCGGCTGCTGACTCACAGGTCGCGGTATCAAATCCCGGCTCCATTTCCGATGGAGGCAGAAATGCTGTAGGCACGTGTGCTGATTTGGGTGTACGTTAAAGAACCCCAAGTGGTCGAAGTTTCCAGTGCCCCCCACTACGGCCTCTCTCATAATCATATCGTGGTTTTCGGACGTGAAACCCCACATATAAATCAAGAATAACAGAAATAAACCGCCAACAGAAAAGTTGGGTGCATGTGCTATCTGTAAGTGCTTACACTTTACTACATACAGCATGCTCATTCCATTTTAAATACCAGTATTGAAAATAACTGCTCTATTAGGAATATAAAAGGTAAGGTAGAACTGAATGACCCTACAAAAAGTGACCCTATTATGACATCACGTTTTCTTATCACAAAATTGACTAAGACTCTGAAATATCATTATGCAAGAAAACATCTTCAAAAGAACAATCAAGTTTGAAGTCATATATTTTTAATATGGCTACTATGACTATAACCAAGAAATCGACCTCAACATGGCTAATGTTAGTTTTTAAGGCCTCTGTTCACTAGACAACGAAATATACCACAAAAAGCACAGTGTTCAGGCAAAGCACCACACAAAAAAAGAAAGCAGTCTTTTTGTTATTATCTACAATGACTTTAAAATGGTATTTTTACCTCTACTTCCCACTTTTTATCGAAGTAACTGGTGTGAAACAAGTTAGCTGAAAATGCACTGTGCCTCCAAAACCTGTTGGTTGAATCTGAATTTTTAAAAAAATGGTGAAGCTTGCACTAAATTAGGCTCCACAAGCCTTGGAACAGCGAGACTGCATGACTCTTAGGACTACTTTGATTACTTGTGTTTTGTTTCTGGGCCTAAGCATAAAGACAAGG